CCTCTCTCTTGGCGGTGAATAGGACTGGTCCTAAAACCTCCTCCTCCTCCTCTTCCTCCTCCTCCTCCTCCAACTCCTGCCCCTCGACGTCGGCGGCGGCGTCGTCATCCTCCTCCTCCTCCTCCTCCAGCTCGTCGTAATCGCAATCGTAGTCGTAGCTGTCGTCGTCGTTGTTGCGCGGCGGATGTCGCGGAGCAAAATAATTAGTTACCCCTTATTGGTGGGACCCCGAATCTCATATTGGGAGGATCTCAAGTCCTTTCAGGGTAATCGGGAGGTGTGGTGGCGATCAGGAGTGTCTTCTAGCAGCTCTGGGAGGTGTTACATGGACCCCAGGGGGGTGTTGTACGGCTTGTAAGAGGGGTGTGTCATGGGCACCAGGGAGGTTATATTGCCAGCAGAGGTGTTACAGCGGCCCCGCGAGGTGATATAGAAGCCCGGGCGGGGGGGCCGGATGAAAACCCCTAGGAGGTGCTATATACGGCCTTGAGGTGTGACAGCGGCGCCGGGGAGGTGTTATAGCAGACCCCGGGGTTGTATTGCGGTCCCGGGAGGTGTTCTATACGGCACAGTGGGGTGTAGAGTTACCCTGGGGAGATGCTATACGGCCCCAGCAGGGGGTTTTGGGAGGCTCAGCCGAGGAAGTGTTTTACGGCCCGGGGATGTGTTATTAGAAGCCACGGGTTGTAGCGGCCCCGGAAAGTGTTATATAAACCTGGGCGGGGGGCTGTAGGAAGGCCCCCAAGAGGTTCTATACGAGGTGTTACAGCGGCCCCAGGTGTTAAAGCGGTACCGGGGAGGTGTTTTCGAACCCCCCAGGTGCTGTCTTGCGGTCCGGGAGGTGTTATATGGCCCCGGGGGCGGTGTTACACGGCCCCGGGTGTTCTTTGGAGGCTAAGTGGAGCTGCCCCGGGGATGTGCTTCAACGCTCCCAGAGAGAGGTTTTGTCGACGCCCCGGGGCGTGTCATACGGCCTGGGGATGTGCTATAGCGGCCGCAGGGAGGTGTATTCAAGCCCCGTGGGCTTAGCAAGGCCCTGGGGACGTGTTCAGCGGCCCTGGGGAGTCTTCGAGGCCCCAGGAGGTGTTCTGGCGGCCCCAGGGGGGTGTTATAGCGCCCTTGGGGATGTGTTATTTGGTTCAGAGGCGCGCGGGAGGGCCGTGGGGTCGGCGACGGCGGCGGCGGCGGCGACAACAATGGGGGGAGAGGATGCAGGAGGAGGAAGATGAGGAAAAGGAGGAGGAAAAGGAGGAGGAGGAGGAGGAGGAAAAGGAGGAGGAGGGGGAACAGAACGAGCGCTAGTCGAGACAGAGGAGGAGCGGTCCGCGATGGGGCTCTGGATTAAGCTCCGTATTGAGCTGCGTGTTGGATTACGTATTGGGTTTTTTGGGCTACGTATCGCAGGCCGCTTTACGTATTGCATATTGAGCGTGGATATTGTCCGTGTTGGACCACGTATTGGCCAATGTATGCAGCCATATCCACGTTTAGAGCTTACGCTCTGAACTTGTATCAATACGCTCCGGATTGCGTATTGCGCATCGGGGCAGCTAAGACCCCCCTCTGCATTTCAGGGGGGTGGGGGGGGAAGGCGTTCGACCCCACCCCCCCCTTGGACAGGGGGAGGGCGCCCCCCCCAGACTCGAACCCCCCCCACCCTTGAGGGGGCGGGGGGGGGGGGCCCCGGTTAGTGAGGCCGTTGTCCGGGGGGGGGGGGGGGGGGCGCCCCCGATGGCCCGGGGGCGCTCCGTTTTCAGTTGTTGGAGGGGCCCGCCCGGCTCCCACGTGCTGAAGTGCTTTGTCCGAGGCGAGCGTCCACGAAGCGCTGTCTCTCTGGCCTCGGGAGGGTGGGCCAGTGCATGCATCAAGTCGGGCCTGTCCCTCTACAGGGGGAATATTCAAAAATAGTCAGAAAAAGTCTGGGGATCATTTTTTGAGTATTTTGGGGCATCTTTTGATAATCTGTTCGAGTACTTTTTATTGCTCGTCCAAAATCCCCCTGTAGGGAGACAGGCTCGACCTAATGCATACAGGTAGACGCGTCCCCAGTGGGGGGGGGTCCTTATTAGTACACAGGAACCCTACCAGGCAGCCCTTGGCATTCTTCCACGTCTCCACGTGCACGAGGCACGCCGGCGGATCACAGGGTCTGGGACTCGGGGTCGGGGGCCAGGAATCTTGGAGAAGAGGATCTTGAATGGGCGGCGGGGCTCGAATACAGGAATTTTGAATGGGCAGCCAGGCCTGGAATGAAGGAATTGGAATGGCCAGGGGAGGGCTTGAATAAACGAATTTGGATGGGCAGGCGGACATGAAACAAAATGAGAGGTATGGAACAACATGTATTGAATAGCAGGCGTTTGTTAAGACATACTAAATCACAGGGTCTGGTACCTAGGATCGGCAGCCAGGGATCTTGGAACAAAGGATTTTGAATTGGTGGCGATTTCGAATGAAGGCATTTAGACGGGCGGCCAAATTTGCAATAAAGGACTTTGAATGGGCAGCCGGGCCTGGAGTAAAGGAATTTGGATGGGCAGGCGGGCTTGGGACAAAATGACAGATATTTCATAACAAATATTACATCACAGGATCGGGGACCGGGATTCCTGGAATGAAAGATTTTGAATGGGCGGCGGGCTTCGAATGTTGGAATTGAACTAGGCAGCCAGGCTTGGAATGAAGTAATGGTACCGGAGAAACCCCAATCAGAATCTTTCTAGGGTTATAGGGGTATGGGGCTATAGGGCTAGAAGGCTCTGGGGCTACAGGGCTGTAGGGCTACTGGGATATAGGGCTATAGGGCTATGAGGCTATAGGGCTATAGGGCTTTAGGGCTATAGGGCTATAGGGTTATAGGGCTATAGAGCTATAGGGGTATAGGGCTATAAGGCTGTAGGCCTATAGGCCTATAAGGCTGTAGGGCTACCGGAACGCGGGCACCCGGGCACCTGGGCGTGCCGCCGAAATCGGTGCCACAGCTAACCTAACCATATGAATCCGCTAGGACCCTTGATTGGGGAATTTGAGTGGGCAGAGGGGCCAGGAAGTGGGAGTTTGGACGGGCAGGCGGCCCTGGGACAAAACTGTATCGATGAACTTGAATACCAGATGCGAAATCAAATGTTGTGGGACCCAGAATTGGAGGCCGTGGGTCCTGGAATAAAGAATGATACCAGAGAAAAAAAAACAATCATAATCTATTTTAATAATAATACAGGGGTATGGGGCTAAAGGGCTATAGGGCTACAGGGCTATAAGGCTATAGGGCTATAGCGCTATAGGGCTAGAGGGCTAGAGAGCTATAGGGCTATAGGGCTAGAGGGTTATAAGGGTATAAAGGTAAGGAGCTATTAGGGCTATAGGGTTATAAAGCTATTGGGGCTATAGGGCTAGAGGGCTATAGGACTATAGGGTTATGAGGCTATAAGGCTCTAAGGTTATAAGGCTATAGGGCTACCGGGCGGGCACCCGGGCACCCCTAGGGCACGCCTGGGCACCCAGGAACCCGGGCACCCCCGGGCACCCGGGCGTGCCGCCGGAATCGGCGCCACAACTAACCTAACCATATGAATCCGCTAGGACCCCTACAGACGCAAGCTCTGATTGGGGAATTTTGAATTGGCGGCGGGCCTCGAATCAAAGAGTTTGAATGGGTACCCAGGCCTGGAATAAAGGAATTTGGGCGGGCAGCCCAGGCTGGAATAAAAGAATTTGAATGCGCAGGCGGGTCTGGGACAAAACAACAGTATCTGAGGCGAGAGGGTGAGATCGCAGTGAACGGAGAGCCCATCTGGGAAGTCGGTTTCGGTTCCGTGTTCGTGTCGTGCAGGCGGGCGAGGCGAAGCTGCGTGGGTGGGCGAGATTAATGAACCCTCCTCTGGCTAGGGCGCCTATGCGGTGTAAGCTACGTAGGGCAATCCAAGTGATGCAATAGCTGCAGTGCAAACTATGTGGTGTGAGCTATCTTGTGCAAACTATGATGGGCCAGCGTTCTCCTCTAAGTGGTGTGAGCAATGTGGTATCAGCTATGCGGTGAAATTTATGCGGTGCAGAGCAACGTCATGCAATACAACGCAAGGCGAAGCAATGAAAAGCAGTGAGAAGCAGTGAAAGGCAACGCTAAGCAATGCAAGTGAGCGCAACGCAAAAGCAGTGTAAAGCAAGGCGCAGCAATGCAGAGCAGTGTAAAGCAGCGCGGAGCAGCGAACAGGAAGCAACGCAAAAAGATATGCAAAGCAACACGCGGCAAAGCAAAGCAGCGCTCACATCGTGCCCATTGTTTTGGATTTGCCGCCGTCCATTCTGTTCGCATCATAAGGGCTCTGTGCTGGAGCGGTGGTCATGGCCAACACGGAGTCACACGTTGTGGGGTCACGAGGCCAACACAGGGTCACACCAGCCCCGTTGGCTCCCGAGGGCTCCCCCCAGGGCTCCGGAGACGGGTCACACGACATGTCCGCCATGATGGGTGTGTGATTGCCGCAAGTTGGCAACACTGCAACATGTACGCGGCCACTTGTGCGGTGCTGTCTTCGATACCCTTTCGCCTTGCTCCGCACCCTGTCCGCAGGGCAATCGAGTGCCGACGGCGAGCTTCGGCTTTGACCTGCCTGTCCAAGCAGGCCCTCGAAGCCGCTGCTCTGAGGGTACTTGCGTGCATGCAGCTGCCGACCTGGCCCTGCTCCGACTTGACCGCGCAAGACGGTAGATGCACGCATGGTTGCCGAAATCTTTTGGTGCTCACTGGGAAGCCCATCACGGTGGCCAGCTCTTGTGAGACCAAATGCCGACCTGAGTTCTGCTCACTTTGGCTCCGGCAACGCTAGTCCTGGGCGACATCATTTCCTGCCTTCTGTCGGCGTTGCATCATGGCTTAGCGTTGCTTGCTTTTCGAAGAACGAGCGGCGAGAGTTTTCCTTTGGCCGTCAAATCTGGCGGGGGCCAGAGCTCGCGCCTGTCGCATGGCGCGGAGCATGTTTGGGTGACTTTGTGGCCGTAGCCATTTTGGCTCAAGCGGTTCATACATCATGGTGGTCAGGCAGAGCGCCAGGGCTCTTCCCAAGGATTTGCTGGAGGCGCTGCCAGCCGAGGCGCTGACTGGCCTGGCGTGTCAGTATGCCTCCGTCGCAGACATCGGAGGGATGCGCAGCCTGCTGGAGGTAAGGGCCGCGATGGGCGGGGGATCCCCATACTCGAAGAAGAAAAAGCTGCATATGCATAAACTGTCGGAGATCCGCGCGAATGTCTTGGATCGGCACCGGACCCCACTCCCCAGCGCGGGGAGCGCGACACAGGCGGGGGGCCGAGCGCCGATCTAAGAATTCCACGCGGAGCTCCGAGAGTTGTTGTTCATGCCGTGTTCCCTTCCTCCACACACGACCTGCGGACGCCCCTCCACATCGCAGCTGCGGCTGGAGACCTGGACCTGGTGCGCTTCTTGGTGGAGGAGGCAGGCGTCGCTCTGCAGAGAGACCGCTTCGGCCTGCTTCCCATCCACGATGCCGTGGAGAACGGCCACGTGGAGGTCCGCAGGTACCTGCAGGGCCACCGCCTCAGGCAGGAGGCCGCCTCTGCGGGCAGGCCGCAGAAGGAGTCCGCGGGTGAGGTCGCGGGCGCGAAGGCCGAGCAGAGCCCTGGACTGGAGGAGATGATGAGCACTGTGTTTGAGCTGGTCGCGCAGGAGGGGGTGTTCAGCTATGGCACGGTACATGCTGAGGTTCATTATTTCTTCAACGGCTTGGGCCTCCACCCAGCTTACTTCGAGCACTTCACGCCGCTGCAAGTTTCCAAGCACGTGCACAGCCTGATCGCGACCAAGCGGATAGCACGTGCCACCGACCATGTCGCGATGCTACGTTTCGCCCTCGATGCTGGTCGCAGCGGGTTCTTCTTAGCAGCCGTGGAGTTTCCGCAGCCGACGGAGGCACAGATGCGCACCGAGGAGAAGGTGGCCGAATATCTCGCGCAGAGCGAACCTGGCCAAGAGAACGTGCGCCTCACCTTCGTGTTGTCCGACGGCCCAGTCTTTCCAGGTGGCAAGGAGAGGCTCGGCATCTATAATGCGGAGCGGGATTTCTTCGAGAGGGTGAGGCCGTCTGAGTTCGAGACGTCGATAGAGGTTCTGGGCTCCACGCGCTTCCTGAAGACGACAAGCCGGGTCGAGAAAGAGCAGTACCAGGTGCTCATGGAAGACATTGTCGCGTCCCGGCGGAGCGTCGTCCGCATTGTCAGCGGCAGTATATACCCCGGGCCTGTCCAGGAGGGGTTCGTGGTGCTGTTTGGGACCCCAGAGGTCTCTCGGAGCTTCTTCTTCCCAGAGATATGCGGCACACTGAGGTTTGCAGATTCCGTGCCACGACGCTTCTATGTTGAGACTTTTGCGAATGGAGTCGTAACGTATAGCATGTTTTTCACCAATGCGACAGAGGAGGGGGTCAGGCGGCTTGGGCGCATCATTCTTCACTCGGCCCTCCTGAAGAACTTCCCGGGGAAGTCGGAGCTGATCTTCAAGAGTGTCATGCAAGCGCGCATCTCCCACGAAGTGGGTCTTTATCTGCTAGCCGCCGTGAAGTTCGTGTACGCTTGTTTCCCGAAGGAACGGTACGCGAGGCAATACACTGACCTACAGAAGGTGCTCGACCAGGACCCTTCGAGCCGACGGAAGCTGGAGGACATGTACAGGTTATGCATGAAGGAATTATTGGCCACGCCGCGCATCTACGAGTTGCTGGAGCGAAACTTAGACTTGTGCCGGAGGCTCTTCGAGGATTTCCGTCTCATCGCGCTGGGGAAGAGGAAGCCGTGGTACAACGAGGAGATCGGGGCCGAGGTCGACGCTGCTTGCCCAGAGCCTCAGGATCGTCAGATCTTGCGGATGGTCCTGACGTTCAATGAGAGCCTCCGTCTCACGAACTTCTTTCAGACGGAGCTGTCTGGCGCAATGGCTTTCCGGCTCGACCCCGCCGTGGTGCTCAGGGACCGCCCGACATTGTTGTACCCAGAGATGCCATTTGGCATTTATGTCAGACGTTTCGCGTTTACCGCCCGCCCATTCCAGTGCTCGCCAGAAGAGGCGAAGACAGCTCCAGGGTGGGATGAACGCATTCTGGAAATAGAGAAATGTTATTCCGCAGGTGTGTGTGTGTGTATGTGTGTGTTGTCTGCGTTTGTCCTGCGCCCCAGGTTTGCTCCATCCCATCTCCGAGTGGGCTCAGGCATACCGTGTGGCTGATCGATAGTTGCACGTAGCCATAATCAGCGGATACATCACATGGGCATTGGCTCTCTGGACACATGCTCCCCATCCACAGCAGGAGGCAAGAAATAGGTTGAACATTGACCAATAGCAACCCCCAACAGCCCGAAAACGCTTCAAAAAGAACCGACGAAGGCCGAAAATGGCCCCGAGCAGGCCGGGCTCGGCCCGAGACGCCCTGGGCGGCCTCTGCTCGGCCCGATCCGATTTTGTCCCGATCTTCGCGTCGTTTTGAAAACGGCTTCGAATATTGTATGCTGAAAGGTAGACCAGACAGAGCGTGGAAGGCAGGAGGCCTCCGGGCGACCCCCGAGAAAAGCTAAAATCGCGGAAAGCCAATGCGCGTTGCTGTAGTATGACATTCCCAGTTTGGAAGCGCAGTTGTGCCTAAGACGCGCTTTTGAGAGCCCCAGGAACCCAGGGGCTCATGCTTTGGGGTTTTTTTATTATAATACACTGTACGCCTTGACTCTCGCATATAAAGTGTTATTGGTATGAGCATCCATGATCACCATCTGATGCGCGAAGTTGTTCTACAATCATATAAATTCACGGAATATGCGATATCAGAGTGAGAAAGCCGAACGGTATTTCACTGCCCCTGGGCGCGTGGCTAGAATAAAATTCCGCGGTGCGGACTGTTTGTGATTGTTGTTTGTAGTTTCTTGCTTGTTGTTTGTCAGGTATTGGGCTGGCCTCCGGCCAGTGCCGCCGATCCAGGGGGGTGAGACCGAGAAACGTCGGAAATGACGTCGGAAATTTTCCTGGGTACCGAAAAACGTCGGAAATGACGTCGGAAATAACGTCTGCCCCCCCCCCTCCCTGCAGAGCGAAGCTCGAGCGAGCTCAGGTCCACGCTTTCAGAAGCCCACATGCCGGATCGGCGGATTAAGCTCTCATTGCTGAGAAGTGATCATTGTTGATCCCCCCTCCACTCCCCCGGCCCACGATGTGCTGGAGAGGACGGCAGGCGGCTGGCGACGGGCGGGCGGCGGGCGGGACCGGATTTCACTAGAACTCCTCAGGGTTCTCGCTTGCAGCCGGGTGCCGTTGAATACTGGGTGTTGCGCTGGATGCGAAGGCCGTGGAGCCAGGGGTGTTGTGCTGGAGACGGGGGCTGGCGAGTATTGGGCGTAGCGTCGGAGGCGGAAATGCGGGCGGGCGGGCGGCGGGCGCGTCGGGGTTTGAGTGAAATCCCTTGGGGCCCTTTTTTGCGGCTGGACGCCGTTTAATACTGGATCTTGCGTGGGGGCCGAAGGTTGTGGAGAATTGGGTGTCGCGTTGGAGACGGAGGCTGACGAATATTGGGAGTGGTGTCGAAGACGGAAGCAGGGCGGCGGGCGGCGGGCGGACGGGCGGGCAGCGGGCGGGCCAGAACGCCGTTCAATGCTGGGTGTTGCGTTGGAGAAGAAGACAATCGAATGCTGGGTGTTGCGTTGAAAATGGAGACTTGTGAGTGTTGGAGGCGGAAGTAGGGCGGGCGGCGGGCGGGCAGGCGGCGGGTGGGCGGGCGGGCGGGCGGCGGGCGGGTCCGGATTTGAATGAACATTTTAAGCGTTTCCTGTTGCAGCGGGATGCCGTTCAATAGTGGGTGTTGCGTGGGAGACCAGGGCTGTGGAGTATTGGGTGTTGCGCTGAAGATGGAGGCCAGTGAGTACTGGGCGTGGTGTCGAAGGCAGAAGCAGGGCGGGCGGGCGGGCGGCAGCCCTGGCGCAGGCCCTCCTCCGGCCCCTTGCTTCTACCCCTCATCTTCTGCGTAGGTCGCCATTCCGCTGGATCCGCCAGCCGCCATTAGCTTTGCAAGGTAGTGGCGACACCTTCGCAGTTCGCCGGCTCCCAACGACGGCGAGGTCCCGCTCTGATCTGCGTAGGACGTCACTCCGTTGGACCCATCAGTTTCCCTCGAAAGTGGCGACTGTTTCTTAGTTCGAAGCCCCCCTGCGACGACGAGGTCCCGCTCCGTAGGACGTCACGCCGCTGGACTCACCAGCGGCCCTCGAAAGTGGCAATGGTTTCGCAGTTCGTGGCCCCCCAGCGACGGCGAGGTCCCGCTCTGATTTGCGGAGGACGCCGTTCCGCTATACCCACCAGCAGCCTTCGAAAGTGGCAACGGTTTCGCAGTTCGCAGCCCCCCTGGGATAATCATGGTGAGTTCACGTAGCACGGCTCGGTAAGAGGCAGGCTGGAATGCAGGACAGGAGAGGAGGAGGTAAGAGGCAGGAGAGAAGAGAGGGAGAAGGGATGAGAGGGGAAGTGAGGCGGGAGGCAAGAAGAGACGCGCGCGCAGTGCCTTGTTCAAACCGAAAAACCAAACGCAGGAGGGTTGGAATGTAGTTGTTCTATGTGTCTACCGACTACGACGCATCTGCATTATACAATGTTGTATGTCAGGTTTGGTATACTAGTTATGTCTTGTTTGAGCGTATGGGGCAGCTTTTGGAAGCTCCGAAGGGGGACCCGAAGGGCCAAGTTTGAGCCAGAGCCCATTGAAAATGATGTGGCATTCCAGCTCGTGTCTGGAAGCCGTCTTTGGGCTGGAAGAGGATGGATGTCGCAGCCAGGCGGCGGAATATCGAAGGCACTTGAGGGGGAACAAAGGGCAAAGCCTTGCAAGGTGCTTTCACCGTAAAGTCTCACACACGCGCCTCATCTCCTCCTCCTCCTCCTCCTCCTCCTCCTCCTCCTCCTCCTCCTCCTCTTCCTCCTCCTCCTCCTCCTCCTCCTCCTCCTCCCCAGTAGGTGGGCGGATTCCAAAAGCGTGCGCCGTTCCGCCGACGTCCAGGGGGCTCGCCAGGTCTGGACAGGAGTGGCCATGACTGCGCATGGCGCGGGACGAGGGCTGTGGCGTTCTGATGAGGGGGGGAGAGTTCTAAGGATCTCGGCGACTGAGCGAGAAGAGGAGGAGGAGGAGGAGGACGTTCGCATGGTTCGAGTTGGCGCGCTGGAAGTATGTGTGGATCAGTTCTGAGGATCCGATAGTGGTTAAGGGAATCGTTTGTGCTGCTCTCGTGGCGTGATATGAGGGGCCGTGCGGCCATTGAGACATGTTCGGTTGTCGCGGGGGTGCATCGTGTGAGTTTGGGAGCTCTATGGGGGCGCTCTTGGAGATCGAGCGGGATGGGGATGAGGAGGAAGAGGGGGGAGGAGGAGGGCGGAGAAAAGCGAGGACGACCTTCGCAGATTCTGTGGCAGTTCCATGGAGGTTTGGTGGCTTTGTTGGGTCGCAGCTGACCCTTAAACGCTTTGCGCAGTCATCGAGATGTTCTTTCAGAAGGACCGGAAACAGCAAGTAGAGAGCCTGAAAAGCGGGATTCACGGCGGGCCACTAAAAGGGAAGCAGCACACACACTTGCCCACCAGAGGGTGTTCCGTGTGATGCCCGGACACGTGTGTGGGGGCCGTTTTGGAGCCATGTCTGGCCGTCCTGGAAGCCAGCCAGGAACCCTGGACCTTTTCGGAGGCATTCGGAAACGATAAGTAGGGCTAGAAAGCAAAAGCCATGGAACATATACATCGGAGGTGAGGGGGGGGGGAGATCGAAGTGGAACGGAGAGCCCCCATACCGGGAAATCGGTTTCGGTTTCGTGTTCGTGCGTGCCGTGCGTGCGGGCGAGGCGAAGCTGCGTGGGCGGGCGAGAAGAAAGTCTCCTGTAGCTGAGGCGCGGCCTGACCAAATGATTCCTGTCCGGGGGCCGGTGGCCCGCGGTGTCCCGCCGGTGTCCCGCCTCCGACTGCGGCGCGGCCGGACCAAAAGAATTCCTGTCCGGGGGCCGGTGGCCCGCGGTGTCCCGCCGGTGTCCCGCCTCCGGCTGAGGCGCGGCTGGACCAAATGATTCCTGTCCGGGGTCCGGTGGCCCGCGGTGTCCCGCCGGTGTCCCGCCGGTGTCCCGCCGGTGTCCCGATGATGATGATGATGATGATGATGATGATGATGATGATGATGATGATGGTGATGGTGATGGTGATGGTGATGGTGATGGTGATGGTGATGGTGATGGTGATGGTGATGGTGATGGTAATTAATGGTGATGGTAATGGTGATGGTGATGGTGATGGTGATGGTGGTGATGATGATGATGGTGTCCCGATTATGTTGGTGATAATGATGATGTTGACGATATTGGTGGTGATGATGATAATGATGTTGGTGATGGTGATGATGATGTTGATGATGATGGTGCTGATGATGATGGTGTCCCGATGATGATGATGGTGATGTTGATGATCCTGATGATGTTGCTGATGATGAAATGATGAGATGATGATGATGCAGATGATGAAGACGATGATGATGGTGTCCCGATGATGATGATGTTGATGATGATGATGATGATGTTGATGATGATGTTGTTGATGATGATGGTGATGATGATGATGGTGTCCCGATGATGTTGACGATGTTGATGATGATGATGATGACGATGATGGTGTCCCGATGATGGTGATGGTGATGATGAGGAAGATGATGATGTGATGATGCTGATTTTGGTGATGGTTGCCCGATGATGGTGATGATGATGATGTTGATGATGTTGTACCGATGATGATTGTGATGATGATGGTGATGCTGATGATGGTAACGATGATGATGGTGTCCTGATGATGTTGATGTTGATGATGCTGTTGCTGATGATGATGGTGTCCCGACGATGATGTTGATGATGTTGCTGATTATGATGAGATGATGATGATGATGGTGCTCCTCCGCTGATGATGTTGCTGATGATGATGGTGTCCCGATGATGGTGATGATGATGTTGATGATGATGATGTTGACGATGATGGTGCCCCGATGATGATGATGATGGTGATGATGATTATGATGATGATGGCGATGAGGTGGTGATGATGATGATTGAGTCCCGATGATAATGTTGATGACGTTAATGACGATGATGATGATGATGACGTCATTGTAAAATCGGTTGTGATATCGATCGTTAGATCGACAGTGAGACCGAATGTGAGATCGATTGTGAGATCGATAGTGAGATCGATTGCGATATCGATAGTCAGATCGATTGTGAGATCGATCGAATGAAATAGATCGAGTGAGATCGATTGTGAGATCGATCGAGTGAGATCGATCGAGCGAGACCGATAGTGAGATCGATAGTGAGATCGATAGTGAGACCGATCGAGTGAGACGTTGGTTCCTCCCCCCGAACCTTCTTATCACCCGAAGGGTGGTTGTATAGGTACGTATATACCAATGTGAAGAGAGAGAGAGAGAGAGCGAGGGAGAGAAACAAACTAAAGAGAGAGAGGGGGGATATACACAAGCTTGATGATGTTCGGTCTCTGGGCTCCCTCTTGGGGCACCTCTTGGCTTTCTTGGGGCCTCTCAGGGTCTCTTGCGCTCGTCGTGATGCTTCTTCCGCATGCTGGAGCCCCTCTGGAGCCATCGTGGAACGCATCCTGAGCATCTTGGAGGCGTCCGAGGGTGGACCCGGAGGCTCTGACAGCCCCAGGGCTGCGCTGGCGAGCTCGTCGCCCGCCCCCGCGCCTCCCCGCTGCCCTGGGCGGAGTCTTGGACCCCCCCGTGAGGAGGGAACCGCAGGGAGAGGTGGCAGCCAGAAATCCAGCACGCGTTTCTGCCCCCTGGCCAGCGGGGGTCGGCTGACATGGTGGTCGGCCGTGATTTCTTTGGCTTCCACATCCGCTTCCGGGACGTGGCGCGGGGGGGCATCCGCCTCATCTTCTCCCCCGACTACTCCAGCTACGAGCGGAACTACGCCACCCTGTTCGACACTTGCTACCAGCTGGCCCTCACGCAGCAGCTGAAGAACAAGGACATCCCGGAGGGCGGCGCCAAGGGCGTGATACTGCCGGACTCCTCGTGGGGCGCCGAGAGGCGGGGCAACGCGCTGGCGGGCGCCTCCTCTCAGAGCCGAGCTTCGGCTCGCTCGTGCTTCACGCGCTACCTGGGGTCGCTCCTGGACTGCATGATGCCCGAGCAGAGCGGCATCTTTGGCGGGCACCTCCCCGGCGGCCCGGAGCTGCTCTTCTGGGGGAGCGCACAACGGCACAAGCATAAAAACTCGGAGGTCCTCGCGGACTTTTCGGATCGGCGCTGGACCCCCCTCCCTGGCGCGCGGAGCCCGCCAGGGGCGGCGCTGGAGGCGCCGCCAGGGGGGTCCAGCGCCGATCCGAGAAATCCGCGAGGACCTCCGAGTTGATTCGGGGGTGGACAGAACCCCCCTGACACGTCGATTAGTGAATTGTCCGTTTTCGGCTCTCGAGAGGGCGCCGTGGCCGTCATTTTCCAATCTTGCGCCCGCCAGATTTGGGCCCGAGGTCGTTTTCACTAAACCACCAAGGGATCTCTTAACGGCGAAGTGAAGATTTTAACCGTGAATTCACACCACGCTGTTGACACGACGTAACGCCGAGTTAATGAACACTACGCTGTTGACACTACGCTGTTGGCATTGAGAAGAGAGACCGTATACGCGTCTAATTTGTGACACTGCGCTGTGGACACTACGTTGTTGACATTCAGAGGCGGTGTTGGCATTAAGAGGAGAGGCTCTGTGCTCCTGAATCTCTAGCACTGCGCTGTTGACATTCGCCAGCTGCGCGCCTTCCTAGGCCAGGAGGATCAGCAGGCGGCTTCGTCATCGTCGTCGTCGACGGTCGTCGTCGCGGTCGTCGTCGTCGTCGACGGTCGCCGTCGCCAGTCGTCGTAGACGGTCGCCGTCGTCGTTAGTCGTCGTCGTCGTCGTCCGTAGTCCGTCGCCGTCGTCTTCGTCGTCGTCGTCCTTGTCGTCGACGGTCATCGTCGTTGGTCGTCGTAGTCCGTCGTCGTCTTCTTCGTCGTCGTCCTTGTCGTCGTCTTCGTCGTCGTCCTTGTCGTCGTCGTCAGTCGGTGTCATCGTCAGTTTTTCGGTTTTGGGAACATTCTGGGTTGCGGAGGGGTTCTTCGGTGGCTGGCTGGCTGAGCCGAGCATCGAGTGCACGATTGCGCTGTTGACACTGCGCTGCTGCCCGTCGCGCCCAAAAACTGCCCAGCACGAGTGGTGAAACATCGCCGACTCCAAGCTGCGTTGTTGGTGGTCGCGTTGTCGACGATGCGCTGTTGACGACACGCCGTTGGTTCACGCTGCGCTGTTGATTGATGCTACGCGGTTGTTTGAATCTACGTTGCTGTATGACACTACGCTGTTGACATTGCGGTGTTCACACTACGCTGTTGACGCTACGTAACGTTGACACTGCGTTGTTGACACTACACTTTTGACACTACGCTGTTCGTCGACATTCGCGCGGCGTATCGACGATCACGGCGTTCTGCATTGAGCGAGCGTCGTCAACATCGCGCCATTGACACTACGTTGTTGACCCTACGCTGTTGCTTGACACTACCAGTCAAGCGGCGTTCTCGATGATCGCGTTGTTTTCCGGTGACCGCACGTCCTCGACACTTAATTGTTCCAAGTTACTTCTTGGTATGAGGAAACACAGAGCTGCACGATTAACACCAACTCCGGAGCTGGTGTTCCAAAATCAAGAAAACATTATCTCTGGGTTTGTCATGGGAAGCGATTGTTCATGACATAGGATGTATCATGATTTGTCCGAATTGTATACTGTTATATTGTTTCATATGAAAGACGTGTTCGGGTAAACTTCTCGTGGGAGACGTTTCTCATCAAATACGACTTCTCGTCAAAAACGGCTTCTCATGAGAGACGATTCCTACACGAAGGAAGTCTTATGGGAGACGGTTCATTATCAGCGCGATTTCAAGATGCAGATTTACACAGAGACGGTTTTGAGATGAGACGGTTTGTTATGAGAGACGGTATTTCATGAAATAGTATGTAGTCATGGGAGTTTAAACAATGATAGAGTGTTTTGAATGGGAGACGGGATCAGATTTGATATATTTTATCATGACATTGTTTCTACGGGCGACGGTTCTTTACGAGAGACGCTTTTTTATTGAGACACGGAATGAAGCGCCCGTCGCGCCCACATCTGTCCAGAACGATTTTGGCGAAAATCGTCGAATTCAAGCCGCGTCGTTGGTGGTCGCGTTGTCGACACTGCGCTGTTGAAAATACGCCGTTGGTTGTTGACAATACTACTCACACGGTGCACTGATGCTTGACGGTGCGCTGTTGGTTCAGGCTACGCTGCTCGAGGTCAAGCTCTTGGCTGACACTATGTTTCTGACACTACGCGGCTGACAACAATTGCACCTGCTACAGCACAATCGCGGATTCCATGAGCTGCACGACGAGTACCACGTGCAACACGACGGGGTCCACGAGCAGCGCGGCGGAGACCACGAGCACCACTGGAATACATCGACAGGCTGGCATCCCCCAAATAGGGCGACACGCCGGCGTCCACCCTCGGGGGGCGATACAACTCGTGCACAGTTTCGACTCCAGCCGAGTCCAGGGCAGACGCCCTCCCACAGTCCATCGTTCACGCGGCCAGGACAGCGACAGGCCTGCCAGCCTCAACTGACAGAGTGGATTCCGTGAGCTGCGCGACGAGTTCCACGACGTCGACAGATACGAGCTACAGCACGACGGGCACCACGAGCTGCACGACAGATGCCATCCGAAGCACGACAGGTGCCAGGAGCAGCGCGACGGATACCACGAGCTGCACGACGAGTACCACGCGCAGCACGACGGATACCAAGAACTTCACGTCGACGAGCACGCGGGACACCAGGAGCAGCACGGTGGATGCGCAGCACGACGGGTACCAAGAGCAGCAAGGAGGGCACCATGAGCAGCACGACGGGTGAGTCACACGGCGAGTTCCACGAGCAGCACGACGGGTACGAGGTGCAGTCAGGCGCGTACTACGAGCAGCACGACGGACACCAGTAGTTACACGAGCAGCACGGCGGATGCCATGATTTGCACGATGGATACCTTGATACCGCGCGCTTTGGTCCCCGTTTGTTGCGCCGGGTCGGGGCCAGATGTAGGCCCACGGGGTAAATAAATCACACCGCGCATCTCCCTATACACACACGTAGGGCTTTCAGAAAAATGTCACGGAGACGGTGCGTCCCTGGTATATTTCTACACGGTGTATTAATATCTACCTCCATTGTGCTGCATCGGCTTTGCAGAGTAACGGTCTGGGCGGGCCGGGCGTCTTCCAAGTGACGCGGGGGGCCTTCCTGGCGATGCTGATTGCGCAGGTGCCTGCATGCCGTGCCCGTCGGGTGGACGCCAGCGTGTCGCACCCAGCGCCGGCACCGACGCCAGCTCCATCGCCCGCGCCTGCGCCGGCACCATTCTTGCTACCGCCACCGCTTCAGCCTCCACAACCGACGCTGCCAACCGCGCGTGCCTTCACTCCAGCTCCGACTTCTGCTCCGGCGCAGACTCAGGTTCCACCTCCGCTTCCCTTTCCGACGCTTGCGCTGGGCCCACCCCTGGCCCCGTCTCCAACGCTGGCCCCGACTCCAGCACCTACACCAGAGCAAACATGGGCGCCTACGCCAGCGGCGCTGCCAGCGGCGCTGCCAGCACCGACGCCAGCATTCAGCCGGGCGCTGGCACCAGTCCCGACGCAAGCACCTACACCAGCGTCGACGCCAGCACTGACCTCAACACGAGCTACAGCGTCTACACCAGCGCCGACGCCACCACCGACCCCAACGCACTGGCGTGGTGCCTAGCTCACAGGTATTCCAGGCGCTCACGCTGGCGCCCACGGCAGCACCGACGCCAGCATCCACGCCTGCGCCTACACCAGCACCAACGCAAGCTCCCACACCAACGCCGACGCCATCACCGACGCCGAGCTCCGAGCAGCAGGACTGGCACCACTCTGGCAATCACTGCCGCCATCATTGCCGCCGCCATGACCACCACCCCCACCGCCACCACCGCCGCTACAGATTACACATTCCGCGCCCCTTCCACCTCCACAGCAGGGACCGCGCATACGCAACTCTACTCCACCATCGACTCCTGCCCCGACGCCAGCTCCGACTCCGACTCCGGCTGAATTCAATGCACGACCCGAGCGCAGGGAGTTGCGCTGCTGGGCCGACGGCGCACCGGCACTATTACCCGTGCCCGTCACCTTGCAGTCTGCCCCCTTGCACGGGGACGGCTACCAGCAATACCTGTCATGGTTCCGCTTGTCATCATCAGCCGCAGCACCATCAAGATCGACAGGGAGATCTTGATGCCGGTGCCGGGGTACGACGCTATGGTGGCGACGGCGTGAGCCGCTCTCTTGCGCGCCCCCTCTTTAGTGCTCCTCCTCCTCCTCCTTCTCCTCCTCCTCCTCGCCCCCGGGCCCGGGTCCAGAGCAATCGCGTTTTTCCGTTACTTTTGGAAGTTTGTTTGGCTTTCATTCCGCGCTTGATATAAGTGGTTGCCTGGCCGCTACCGGGGTTTCGCGCGCAATGGGTCTATCGATGCGGCAGGGACTGCGGAGCAATCTTGGCCTGTAGGGTCCGATACATCTTGCGGGCATCTTGTTTTGCGAGCTGCCCAATTCCAGGGCTATGTCTTCGTGCGACTGGCTGTCTGCAGGCATCCGCGAATCTGCATGTGCTATATATATATATATATATATATATATATATATATATATATATATATAGATGCATTGTGAGTTGTACTGAGCGCTGTCCTTTTCGCCTGCCGCTGTGTGATGCAAAGGAAAAAAAAAAAAAAACAAAAAAAAAAAAAAAAAAAAAAAAAAAAAAAAAAAAAAACGTTGCTGACACTGCGCTGTTGACACTACGCTGTGAATTGCTGACAATACTACTCACACGGCGCACTCTTGCTTGACGGCGCGCTGTTGGTTCAGGCTGCGCTATTTGAGGTGACGGTGTTGCTTGACACTGCGCTGTTGACACTACGCCGTTGACACTGCGCTGTTGACAGTACGCTGTTGGTTTTGACAAACTACGCTGTTGTCTGTTGACACTAGTACTCATACAGCGCACTGTTGCTTGACAGTACGATGCTGGTTCAGGCTGCGACTTTTGAGGTGACGTTGTTGGTTGACAATACACAGTACGCTGTTGACACTACGTTGTTGACACTACGGTGTTGACACTGCGCTGTTTGCAGTACGCTGCTGATTGCTGACAATGCTACTCACACGGCGCACTGCTGCTTGACAGTGAGTTTTCGGTTCAGGCTGCGTTGCTTGAGGTAACGCTGTTGCTTGACAGTACGCTGTTGACACTACGCCGTTGACGCTGCGCTGTTGACAGTACGCTGTTGGTTTTTGACAAACTACGCTGTTGGTTGTTGACGCTACTACTCACACGGTGCACTGTTGTTTGACAGCACGCTGTTGGTTCAGGTTGCGTTGCTTGAATGACTTTGTTTCTTGACATCAGACTGTTGACACTACGCTGTTGACACTGCGCTGTTCAGAGCAAGCTGTTGTTTGT